GGTCCATAGGGTCTTTGTGTTTGATGGTCTGTTTTCCAGAGGGGGCAGTGAGAACCCGAGAGAGGAGCTGACCCACTGAAGGATGCATAGTGAGTGCGGGCAGGCCCAGAACCCAATTTCTGTTAGTGAAGCCCCCCTCCCCCTCTCCTGCTTCCTTCCACTCAGTTAACTCTGAGAATGTGCTCTGGGCCAGGCACTAAGCTAGGTGATTTGCTGATTGTAGTCAGTAAAGCGGAGCCACCAATTTTTCCTGAAGATGCATTCTTTCTTAAACAGGGAATCGATCTGCGACAAGATACCCAGGCTTCCAGTGAAGCACCATTAATCCACTGCCGGGGCGTTTTATCTCCCTGGCTTGGGGCAGCTACAGCCCGTTCAGATCAGCAGTGTGGTGTCCCTGGAGGAATGGATACAGAAGGTTCTGCAACCAGAGGGGGGTGTCCCGAGCGTGTCAGGGGTGTGAGCAGACTGATGGCGGGGACCACAGGGGGCTGTGCATGCGGGGCTGGTGCACAATGCAGCACATGTGGCCCCAGGCCTGTCCCTGCTAAGCTACAAACTAGCCCTGTGACTTGGGTCTTTCTCAGACTTTTCCCAAAGCTCCATCTCCCCGTCCATAAATGGGAATAAATGGTCTTAAACGTTCCTTCTCAACGTTCAGAAGCAGGATGTCGGGCAATGGCACAGGCTTTGTTAGGGAGCCAGGAGACCTGGGGTTTGAATCTCAGCTTTACCTTTCTGGGACCCTGGGTGCTATGGGTTGAATTGTGTCCTCCATACAGAGGTATCTTGGCGTCCTAAGCCCCAGTACCTCAGAATGCGACCTTATTTGGAGATAGGGTGTTTACAGAGGCAATCAAGTTAAAATGAGGTCATTAGGGTGGGCCTAATCTAAGGGGAAATTTGGACAGAGACAGGCACACGTAGAGGGAAGGCAAAGGGAAGAGACACAGGGACAAGATGCCATCCACTAGCCAACCAGAGAGGCCTCAGAAGGAGCCAACCCTGCCAGCATCTTGATCTCAGACTTCTAGCCTCCAGAACTGGGAGAAAAAATATTTCCGTTGTTTAAGCCACACTGTCTGTGGTGCTTTTGTACGACAGCCCTGGCAAACTAATACAAGTGACTGGATCTCTGAATTTCCTGATTAGTAACATGGGGACAGTGACCCCTGCCCTGTAGCGTCGTTATAAGAATCTGCTGAGAGGATGTATATAAGACACTTAGTGTGGCCCGTGGCATATAGAAAGTGCTCAGTAATAGCAGTGGCTTAGCCTGTGCTGTGACCCCCCTACCTCCCATTCCATGGGTGGGCCCTGCTGGGGCTGCCCAGTACAGAACAGGAAGGCCTCAAGTCAGACCTTTCAAAAGAGAGCTGGGTCACCCGAGGCACCGCTTCAAAAGCCTCTCTAAATATGGAGAGGGCCAGAGAAATCACTATTAATGCAATGCTTAATGGTTTTTAGCTGGAGAGTGGCCTCAGCCGTAATTGACAAGGCCTTGAAGCTGAGGTTTCCTTTTTTTTTTTTTTTTTTTTTTTTTTG